GATCGCGATTCGGTTCTAGGCCGAACAATACTGCGTAAACAGCATACGATATCGCAAATCCGTCTGGTAAATAGCATCCGTGATTCCAAATTTTAACTGCCTTAACGATATCGCGAAATTTATTAATAGGTTGCTCAGCATTCAGGATCGCAAATTTTGTTTGTCAACCCAAATTAAACGAGCTAAAAATAAAAAAAAGTTTTTTTTCAAGCGGCCACCCCTTCCAATAACAACCACGCACGTTGCTGCTTAATTTTGGTGACCGTACGAAAAAATACACGTTGACGTGCTGTTGATTCATAAAAATTTCGATTATTATAGAGAACTATAAAGTAAAACCGCAGGGAAAAATACAAAGAAAACAATGTCACCCTACTCTGGGTGCTAACCCACCAAGGGATAGAAGGTAGGTAATAAAAAAAGTCTAAAGTCTAGGTAGAAAAGGAGCGAACACTACTTTCTGAACCAGAACGAAGTGTTGAAAATCTTGAGTCAGTAGGTATTGAAATATACCCCAAAATGGATTGGGCGTTCGGGAAATCAGACCGCAAAAACAAATTAACTTAGTAAATATTTTACAGTTATAGTTGAATTAATTTCTTAGTTACTTTGATGAATATTTTAGTCTTTACGATGATACAGCTCTACTTAACCGACGTATGTTCGAAAGTACCCATTTCTATACTTTGGCGCAAATTTTTCGCTTTTGGTGTACTCCTGGAAAGTTAATGTTTTTTAGTTTATATTTTGTTGATTCCGGAGCCATTATTTGCGTCCTATAAAAGTTCATAAATAAATTTATAGTTTATTTTTTGTGACGTCCGAATCTTGTGCGGATTTTATTCGGATTTCTGAGATCACTTGTCCGGAATTTCCAAAAGCTTTCATGGAAACCCCATATCTGGAGGAAATAATAAATAAAGTTGTGAATCATCAGGGTTTAAGCGTACATTACAATATTTTAAATAACTATTAATATCTGAAGTGTATATTACGTATAAAAAAACCCAAGATACTACCATGCGGCGCGCCTCTACTGTTTAACCAGCGGATCTGAAGCTACGGAAGGAATGCGAGAAAAAAATCGATATTGCCACGTTTATCTATAAAATTGCAAAATTGCCAGACATGAACTATAAATTTCATATATTTTTATTATATATAATGTGTTTAGCATATATTCTGACGTATATTACTAAGGAATTTTAACGTAGTTCATATTGTTCGATATGTTTTATTTAATAACTAATTTCTTTCATTCTGTATAATCTGCTTATTATGGAAGGTGAAGATTTTTCAACGATATCATTAGCAAACCGGCATCGCCGCGCATGGCCGCCTATTCATCGAACATGATTGGCGAGAGTACGTCACAGGATTTGTTACCACGCGGTTGCCATGACTTTTACGCCTTTCCTATTCGCTATCTTTATCCCCAACTTCACGGTCTCATCTGAAAAGAGTAGAAATATTGAATACTATTGAAATATCCAGTGGCGGTGTCATTCTTTTGATCATTATTACTTTCTTTCATTATTTTATACCGGTTATCCTAAATTTTATTCTTATATTTTTCGTATATTTAATAGTTAAGTTGTGTTTTATTGTTTTGTAATCTTGTTATAATCTTTTTCGTTCGTAGTTTTTAATTATTAATATTAAGTTTGCTCGTATATTTGCGTTTTAAATGAATAAATTTGTTAAGGGTAAAACGCTACATAGCCAGACAAGAGAAATAATAGCTAATTTATATAGGTAAGTAGAATAATAATAATATATGTAATTATTAGAATATTAAAATTAAATATTGGCTAAAATAAAAAGCACGCATTTTACCTAAATATTTTAGCTAAACTAAAATAAATATAAATAAACGTGGATAAAATCTCATTTGGTTTATTTCCTTGTGTTCATAATAGGGTTTGCGACGAAGAAGCTACAGAGAGTTCGCTTAAGTTGCCGCTTAAACGTAAACTTGAGCGGATATCTCTTTATACCGGAGTTAGCGCATCGGCTGTAAAAAATTCACACAGAAGATAAAAAAAGGCTGGAAACTAACCCCGATAAAATGATATCCAGCCCTGGAAAGAAACGACCACGTGAGACTGCTGTTGAAAAGCTCGACGACTTTGATTTTCAAGTGGTCAGGTATTTGATAAATAGATTTTATCTCGAATTCAAAGTCGTCCCCACAATTAGAAAGCTTTTACAAAAATTGCAGGAAGAATCGAATTTTCCTTTGGCAGGGAAACGCTTAGGGGGTTATTAAAATCAAATGGATTTTTCATAAAACACCCTACGCCCATGCCTATTTTATGAATGAAATTGGGCGTGTTTTGTTTACAACTGCGTTCCCCTGCCGATACCCCGTAGCTTCAGATCCGTTGGTCACACTATAGTACTTAGTCTCACATCTGGAATTTAATGATGGAAAACAACTCTTTGTTTCTTACACCAAACATAAATTGTACAAAATTGTAATAAATTATAAAATATTTAATTTTTTTTCTTATTCAAAACTTAACTGGAACACTGATTTCATTTTGCCATAGAAAACCAATATTGTTTAACATCAGTGGCCACGAGTCTGACGTACCTACGTATACAGAAAGGTCGACATACTTCGAGACATAGGAAAAATCAAGTCCATTTAGCGTGTGTCGCAATTTTCACACCTTAAAAAATTGGTTTTGACATTAATGTATGTCCAATTGCACCGCGATATTTAAGGTCTTCTTAGCTTAAGTCGAACTTATAACTGTGACTTTTTCTTTAAAAACGTAATTACTGTGAAACTAAGAGAATGAAGAGTGTCCCTATTTATTTATTTATGTTTTTATAGCAACTGCAGCGACTATCAAAAAAGCTGTGTTGTTTTCGTAGAAAATAAGGTCACCTGTAATTCATTTGAGAATGTTATAAATCGCTAAAAGAGGTTTCAAATCTCTTGGATTTCTGTTAATATTAAATAAATTTTATTAAAAATTGAACTAAAATTGTTAGTATCATTTTCAAAAATTGTATCAGTCAAATTTCCTCATTTAAGGTGAATATTAAAGTAAATATAAATACAGCTCATTCTAAGCTCTACTTATCTTTAAGAAAAATTTAAATCATTGGTGCAATTGGGCCTTAATGCCATTTCGAATGAATAATAGTATTAATAATGTACATTATAATAATAATAAATTTTAGATCATAGTGTGTATTAAAACTACTAAAACACTTTCAAATTGGTATTATATTAACAACTTTGGTTTTTTTAATTCAAAAAAAAAATAAAAGTAACAAATTTCTCAATCAAAATATTTGGGGTAAATGGGTAAACGGTAAAAAACAGGATAATGAAATTTAAAAAATTATAAAAACTGTTCAAAAATGCCTCCCTCTTGCATTAAGCAATAACCCAAACGATCATAAAATCCCCTCCTCACATTGGATAACATGTCAGGGGTGACAGTGTCAAAGGCATTAAATATTTTCTGCTTTAACTGCTCCAAGTTTTGAATTTCTTCATGGCCGTAAATTTTAGATTTTATGTATCCCCATAAAAAGAAATCATTCACCGAGAGGTCAGGTGACCTTTTCCATCATTATTTCGCAAAACTCCATACGGCGAAATTGATAGTCGGGGAAAAATTCATGAACCTTTCTTGCTTTTCTTGAACAATAACCATGTTTTTTGAGGACCCTTTTAACTGTTGTTGTACTTGAATTTACTGCTTCAGCAACTTGTACACAGCTTCTATTTGGATTTTCCTCAACTGCAGCGCATATTAAGACTTCTGTTTCTTTTTGCTTTCTTATGAATGTGGGCAGTAACGCAGCCATATTTTTCAAAATTTTCTTTTATCCTGTGAATGGAGGCTTTTGAAGGCACCGGTCTATTCTCGAAAGCTTGTCTGAATCTCGTTTTTATTTCTTCAATCGACTTGTTCTGGTAAATCCACTTAATTATCTGAATTTTTTCATTAACGTGATACACATCCATTTTTAAATGCAATTCAAGAATCTGAGATAAATAATTTCGAACTTATCAAGTTTAAATAAAATGAAATTAAACGTCAGTCTAAACAAAACTGTCGTTTTTGAAAACTTGTCAAAATTTGGACACATGCTAAATGGATTTGATTTTCCTATGTCTCGAAGTCTGTGGACTTTTCTGTATACATACCAGGGGCCGGAAAGTGAAATAGCAAAAGCGGTTCCACCGTTTCCACGGAAATTTCAAATAAAATAGTTCCAGCCTCGGGCGCTAGGTGGTAGTGCAATTAATTTTTAGGTTAAAAAGTTGCTACTAGTTATTGCCAGATGGCGTTCAATCAGATTTTTTTTGTAGTTTCCATAGTTTCCAACGGCCATTGTGATATTATTGTCAAATTCTCAAAAAATATTGTCGTTGTCATAGCGCCAATCATAATATTATAAAAATAATTATCAAAACCATCAAATATCATAGTTTTTCAAACTAATTTGTTATATGTGTTTTTATTAGACAATTCATTTTGTTTGTGGCCCTAAAAATATAATGTAAGTAATTTATTTTTGCTATCATTTAAGTACCTATTTATATTTACTCCATTTACAAAATTTTGGGCGTATTACGTTGGTCTTGTTTTATTATAATAAACGATGTTTAAATATTTGACTTATAATTAAAATCTTTAAATAATAAATAATATTTACCCATGTTTGGCTTTAATTTTATTTAATAATTGTATAAATTATACTGTTAAATCTTATTTTTTACACATCACAACGATACTTGTTTAGTATTGTTGAATTTGTGTAAAAAATAAGATTTAATAATCAAATTTAATTATATATTTTAGAGTAGAATTCAATAAATACGCTCATTTAAAAAGCCCGCGCTTCGATCCATTTAAAACAAGCCCTACTCAATAGATGGCGCCACTTCTGTAGAACCATTTTTCAGTATGGCAGAGTCCATTCTTTTTCTAGCTAGGTATATTCTTTGATACATACATTGATGGACTTACCCGTCTATTTCCGATGGTTTGAAGTCGCCTTTTCCTGAAACACACAAAATACAGTGACATTAGATTGAAATACTATCGATGGGCAAATAAAGAAAACTGTCGGTTGAGGGGGGATTGGAAAATAGACTTGAGTTCCAGGGAATAAATTCTGCAGAATTTTACTGTTTGATTTAAAAATAATAGTGTCGGCATCTATAACGCGAAATGTCGTGTTTATGTCCAGTATTGTTAGAGAGATTTTATGAGGTTGAAATAATAGTAAAAAGTATATTGGCTTTCATAAACGCTATAGAGGAGTTTTATATGTTTTGGGTTATATCTTTTTTATTTTTATCTTTCAATTTATGCCTATTTTATATCTATTTATATCTATTAGTATTTTTACGTGATTTTTTAATTTTTGATTCCGGCTTGTCAAGACTTAGAAAAAATTCAAGCTTATTTTCCTATTTTGTGCAATTTTCTCTAAAACGGTATAGAAATTTGAAAAAGTATAAACGGGATTAACCATTTTAGAACAAACAATTTTTTTTATAAAGAATGTATTTTTCTCAAAATGTTAATAATAAAAAAGTGTCAAGAGGAAAGAGCTCACGGAGACTTTGCATGGAGAGACAGACAGGCATGGAGAGATGGCATCGGAAGACGTAGAATGTTTTAAACCGATTAATATATATGATACGATCCAATGTGAGGATTACAGTAGGCTTAAGTCTAGTTGACACGGTCAAAGTGCATTTGAATCATATCAACCGATTTTATGTCCAACTGTATTTGATTCAAGTACACTTTGACAGTGCCAACCAAGCTTTACGATTCTATTCAAATTTTATCGATCCGTTTTCGCCATGATTCACTTGAACGAACCGTATTCTAAGCAAGCGTTTAAATGAACGAATCGTTCAATCTTTGTCCACCTCTATATCTGACCGAAACGTTGTGTAAGTAAAAATGAATAAAAACAATGGAAGTCCGAAATTCTTTTAGTTTCAGCAAATATAATAATAAAACTTTAATACTAAAGCATTTCTACAGGGTTGTTCACCACATACGAAATGGAGTATTGTAGCTAAACGATTAGATTTTTACAAATTGTAAGTTTTGGGTTCGTTGAAGGACCATTAGAGCTACAATTTAAAAATATTTTTACAAGATACAGAGTGTCCCAAATAAATAAAAAATATCAAAGTTACATTTTTTTAAATGGAACACCCTGTATAATATTGCATTTTTAGTTTCTACGATTAAAATAAAGGTAAATTTGATAAGGTTTATTACACTTTAACCTTACCGTTTTTGAAATATTTTCAATTTTGCGAAATTGCAGTATAAATTTTAAGGCTTCATTTCTCCGAGGATATCAAAGTTTTTAATACTAAATATTTACTGAAGTTTATTTATTGATCAGTTATCGTGTTGCAATAATGAAAATTATACTACCTTATACAGAGTGTCTAAAATTTTTTTTAAATAATAACTAGCTTTAAACGGCAATAACTTATTTAATTTAAATAGATCACCCTGTATATTTTATGAGAATCAGATGCACAATTTAATTGTCTATCAAATTGTATTATACTACTTCTTACCTATTCCTTCAAGTTTTCGTAGAAAAAGCATTTTCTTATAATTTAGACCTCATTTATCAATATACCCATGGAATATTGACATTTTAGATTGTTTTTAAAGCAGCAAATGTACAAAATGTACAGGCTAGTAATATTATCGTTTTTAGTAAAACGATAATATTACTAGGCCATTTGTATGCAAAAAGAAAAATATTTAAATCTTTATAAAAGAGTATACAATTAATTAAATATACCACCAGTATTTCCGCCCAAATACTAATTAACTACATACTTAATTGTGTTCGTTAAAAAATTATTCTAAATAAATGTGGATTTGAATCAGAAATCAATATAATAATAAGTTATGAAAATGAACGTCTCTGTTGTTATAAATAAGCATTTGTCAAAAAATTAAATATCATTGTTAAGGTGTTGCTTTTTACCACACTGTCTAATACACATACATAATTCAGTTTTTTAGTATTTGTAGCAATTATTACTAATCAACGCAAACAGTCAATTAATGTAGTTTGAATACTGGAATCATATTAATTGGTCCTCTTTAACAAATATTTAAACAGTTTTTTTTATTTTTTAATGAAATAAACGAACTATATCGACAATATTAGTATCTGTACTCTTTAAAAATTTGGTTTGGTTTTAAAAATAATCTAAAATGTCAGTATTCCATGGGTATATTGATAAATGAGTTCTAAATTACAAGAAAATGCATTTTCTACGGAAACTTGAAGAGATAGGTAAAAAATGGTAAAATACAATTTGATAGACAATTAAATTGTGCATCTGATTCTCATAAAATATACAGGGTGTTACATTTAAATTAAATAAGTTATTGCCGTTTAAAGCTAGTAATTATTTAAAATAAATTTTTAGACACTCTGTTTGATTAGACAACTTTGATTCCCTCGGAAAAATGAAGCTTTAAAATTTATACTGCCATTTCACAAAATTGAAAATATTTCAAAAACGGTAGGGTTTAAGTGTAATAAACTTCAATAAAATGTATCTTTATTTTAATCGTAGAAACTAAAAATGTAATAATATATAGGGTGTTCCATTTAAAAAAATACAACTTTGATATTTTTTATTTATTTGGGACACTCTGTATCTTGTAAAAATATTTTTAAATTGTAGCTCTAATAGTCATTCAACGAACCCAAAACTTACAATTTGTAAAAATCTAGTCGTTTAGCTACAATACTCCGTGTCGTATGTGGTGAACAACCCTGTATATAGATCACAAAGAACATTGACTTCAGTTTAACAACTCCCCAACTTTTTGTTTAACTCGTGCGTTTTTCCGCCAGCTTTATGCTTTGTTTTACTGGAGCTTAAAGAGTGAAACTGCAAGAAACATCGACGTCGCCGTCGGTCTCGGTCCGTTGAACCGAAATATCCAAATATAAGAAGCCCATTTCATAGAGAGAGCCTGAATCTCGGGCGGAGAGAGGAAAATAATTATAAGATAGCTGTAAGACGGCGCGCGGAGTCAATTTCACGGTACATTTAGGGCGCATCTAGGGACTTTTTAATTTCATTTAATGAGATTGGGTCCGGAGAATTTTGCCGTGTACGGACCTGCCCTCGCGGGGAGGAAGGAAGCAGAGGTTGTTTACAAATAGAGCGGAAATTAATAAATAACGGTTACTTGTTGTTTTGCTTTGATTTCGACAGATGATGATAGAAAAAAGGTAAATGACTGCTATACTAATTTATCCTTTTCACTAAAAAAGGCTTCTATTTTTTAAGTTAACTGCGTATGGGTTTATACCGTGCTGGCTACTCTTACTTTTGGTATTTACATATATGTGGAAGTAAATCGCATAGAGATCTTATTAACTCGAAGTTGGAGAAATGCGACGGTGCGCTGTTGAGGCGTTGCCACATTTCTCTGGTACGCCTTTCCCTATCAACTAAAGTAAAATCACGATCGCAAACCACTTATTTTTAAAAGACTCTTTTTTTCGAAAAGATAAGTAGATAAAATCATTATTTTAAAATATAGCAAAAATATTAAGAAAGTATTTGAAAAAAACTATAATCAATTGTTTCTAATGGATTTCGAGATATTGATTTTTTAATTCAGTGAGATTCAGAGTAATTCAGAGTTCTAATAGCGCAACCACTGTCGAACACCAACTCAATTCCACTTATGTTATCCATCATCAATTAATACCAGAAACATTTGATTAAAACACTATACACATAGATATGTAATGACGATTATCACAAAACTTTTTGCTTAAATAAAAGGCTTATATTTGTAGTTGGATACACTACGATTTTAATTTTTCTCATGCTGGTTTTTTGGTTTGAAGTCATTCTTTGGTCCACCCTTGGGATCTTTGAAAAGATCTAAAGCGGACGCAAAAAGTTCTGCTTAAGAAAGTCCGCGAGCTTGTTTTACACTAATATAATAAATAAAGAATATATTCTGAGAAAAATATAAATTCTGAAAATAGAGCGAATGAAAGAAAGATATGCGTAAAATTTAATATTTGATAAAAAAACTGTGTTTTGTTCATCAAAATTACTAATTATATATTCATAACATCACTTCTAATAAATAAAGAAGCATAAATTTACATGGAGAATCTCTCGTCTCCCTCATTTCCCTCTAACACCACTGACAGCTTCGTTCATTTTCAGATGTGTTATGTGTGCCCTAAATAACAACGGCCACTCAATCAAATTGCCTCCGGCCAACAAAATAAATCATTAGGTTTTATCCCGCGAGAAGCCCTTTTTTGTTGTGTGTTTTGCGTTGTGAATGCGGCGTTCCGCAAAGCATAAATGTCATCGGGCTGGCCACAGAGTAATAAAAACATAGAACTGTCATTTATAAAAAAAATGTTAGATTCGGGATATCAACTATGGAATAAATCAATTCTATCAGTCTTCTAGAAAATGAAAAAATACGGAGAATTGTTTTAGCGGACCTTTAACATCTGGCAAGAGAGTGCGATGGCAACAACGTGCGTGATGTTATAAATAAGATTACAGTTGAGGGTTGGTTACACTAATTCACCACAATACCACAATCGACAAAAACACTTTACTTTTCCACTGAAAGCGTGTTAGCATCATCAGCAGATTATTAAAACTAAATTAATATCTACAATTCAGGGTTTACATAGGCGCTCAGTTGGCAACGAGCAGGCGTGGAAAAACTAACCAAGCGAGTCAAAATCAATCAAGCGTAACAATTCATTACCGAACTAGCGGAACAGGAACAGTGAACTGTAAGAAATTGGACCATGTCTCTGTTCATACTAACTTTACATTTATTAATTTTGACATTCTCATATGTATCTAATTGCCTGTACTCCACCCGGCCTCCTCTTACCGTCTACAAGCTCACCGTAAAGCAGAGATTTTGGTATGCGGTTTTCTTGCATTCTGCATACATGACCAGCCCATCTTAAGCGGGATTTTGTAACCATGA